ATAAAAAGACTTGATTTCAGGCAGACCAGTCACATTGTGTATTCCTTTGTAATGCACTCACGCTTCATGGACAGTGCTGTCCAGATCTTCCAATCAAGTAGGAAGTAGCCAAGGAACAAGGAAGTACATCAAGCAACATCTTCTACAAAGCTCCAAAATTGTGGTATACTGTTCCAGAAAACCCAAAAAGGATGTTATGTCCTTTTTAGTATTCTATGTCTTTCTTAGAATCCTTTTTAGGACATTATGTCCTTTTTAGTATTTACTTTATCAAATAAACTATATTTAACCATGGAAATCTATGTCTGTTTTGTGTTTTTTAGGCATCTCTACTAAATAAAATAAAATCCACTGAATTAGAATGCAACACTGACTTGACTCAGCATTATACAATTTAAATATATATTTTTGGCATATTAACCTATAGCAGTCTTGCTGATTAATACTCATTCACTACCAATGAAAAGGCTTTATCATAGCATGATAGGAATTAAAGTCTAGAGCAGATGAAGAAGAGGTTTAGCACATCTGATAAAGAATATGTGTGCCTTTAAGGGCTTATGCAAGCTATTTTTAAACAAAGTAGAATCAATGAATAAAATCTGGTCTCTCTGGACCCTTGAGTGCTGATTTTTAATGCATCCTTTTAGCCTACTGCAGCTGAAACTGTAATGAGGGTCGTCAATTTCCTGTTAGGCATAAATCAACCAGTTTACTGGGATCAGTTTGTTCAAAGTACAAAGGATGCTTTCCGGTTAACATCAAAGCATTTGGGTCCAGTAGCAGGGTTTAGAAAGATTATATATTTCACTATGGAATCCCGTTTATAGAATATTAGCCATAATAGGTTAGATTGATACCCTTGGCTAAGAGAATTTATTTTGGCTAAGGCAAGTAGGTTTCCGGAGTATTTGTCCACATGCCTTTAAATGTTATGCAGGAGTTTCCTTAAAATCAATAGAAATATATATTCATGCAATGACTGAGATGTCTAGAATATCTATCTTTAAATGTAGGACATTTATGATAAATGCATACCGTGGATTGCACAATTGATTTTGCATACCAGCTTCCCTAAATGTTATTTTAAATCAGCATTGAAAGCTACATATAAATGGATATAATTAATGTGTAGCAAAGCCGTACCTGCAGATCATTTCCCATCATCAAACGGGATTTGAGCACTCACTGCTCAAGCCTGTAAAGTGACTAATCAATGTGAAGGCAGGAATAGCATGCCCTTTCAAGCTGGTTTCATCAGCAAGAAAGCACAGGTGCATCCTGCTTGATTTTGACTCATCACTGCAAAGACAATGGCTGAGCACATCACTAGCATTAAGTAGAAATATGCCCAGTGTGATGAGGACTCATCAGCATGAAGACACCTGCAACGAGTGGCATGGAGGTTAGATTAAACAGTGGGGGGTCTTACTCTTAGGTAGTAAGATCTGTATTCCCTGCTAGAAGTATGGTTTAATGTGGTAACAAAAAATAAATACATGATTTTTTACATGTTTATTCCACCATCCAGAATGGACATTTCAACATTTTATATGGTTACGTTCTTGGTGAGGTCTAGGTTATAAAGGCATACCTAATGACATTTCCTGCTCTCTTCCTAGGACATAGGTCAAAGTGGCAGGACTAACTGCAAAAGGGGGTGGGCCCATCTAGCAAAGCAGATGGGCCCATTTGTCAAAGGGTAAGATTTTACATCCCTAAGTGGGTGGCCAGGCTAGTGGCTAGTCCTCTTATGCATTTTGAAAAAAATGGTAAATGTCAAAGAGTTGCACAGGTCCCCAGGATCTAAATTTGCGAGGACATTACCCCAAAATGTGGGACTGTCCTGGCAAATTCGAGACTATTGGCACCTATGTAAAACTGAGCACACTATTTCTAGGCAAAGTGTTTATAATTACAATTAATAATATGGTAACTCCAAGAACCGTGGAGATTTTTGCCTTCAAATGATTCATAATGTCATGCAAACATGATATAACTTATGTGCTTTTATTATAATTTAATTACATGGGGAATAATATTATGCCCACTTTATGCTTCACTCTTTATTTACTGAACATCAGCAGTAAAGGAAACACATGAAAAATATATAAACCAAATTAATACAAACAAAAAAGGAGAAACAATCAAACAAGTGGGCTATTTCATCAAAATACCCTGTACTGGTAAAAGCCTGTGTCCCCTGCACCATGCTATTAGAAATACACTTGGGGGGGCGTGGCCAACAGCCAGACAAGACAGATGCATAATTCTTAGCTCCAGTGCTCAAGCTCCAAATCCAAAGCAATCCGAGCAAACTGAAAGCTGGTAAATGGCTCAAAACACCAATGTCACAACATAAAGCCAAGAAGAATTCCTCCAAGGCGGAAATTTTTAACCAAAAAGCACTGCCGGTCGCTTTGGGCCCACACGCGCCTGCAGGCACTGACTCCGGGCTACCTTACACAGGCTCTTGATGTCCTCTCCTAAAAGCTGATTACATCCTGGAAACACTCTACGGACTCCCTGCGCAAAGACGTCCAAGAACTGGGCGCACAGCACCCATGAAATCCAAAATGGACGAATTCACATCAGCACGTAATGATCTGGCAGATCATGTGGAAAGCTTAGAAGACAAGTGGGCACACATGGACATGAAACTGGCTGACCTAGAAGATTGAGCCCTTTGCAGCAACCTGATTCTGGGTGCCAGAATCTATTACACCAGCGGATCTACCTGTATATGTCAGAGGCTTACTGCACACTTATGCTTCTGAAGTCCCAGCTGACATGCTGTTTGTAGACTGGGTTCACTGGGTCCCAAGCCCGCGCCACCTCCCATATTCCCTGCCTAGATATGTGCATCTGAGGGTACATTATTATCACATTAAAGAGCCAGCCGAAACAAGACGAAACCGCTGGACTATTACCCACAAGTGAAAATCTTTGCTGATCTGTCAGCTGCCACACTACGATGGAGAAAATTATTTGCACCAATTTTGCAGAAACCCTAAGAGCAAATGGCATCAGATACAGGTGGGGTTTCCCCACAAAACTATTGGCAATGAAGGACGTTGGACTCAAACCCATCCTGTCCCCAGATGACATGTGAGGAAGCTGCACACCTGGGGCCTGAATATTCCTCTTACCAATGGAGAGAATCCGCCTGTATCGAAACTCTGGCTGAAGGGGACTGCAGTACTGAAGAAACTCTAGCTGGAGTGGACTGCAGTACTAGAGAGCCGATAGAGAAGGATGACCGCCTGGGGATCTGTGCAACAAGGCTCAACTCACCACACTCACCCGCACTCGGCATGCCCCTAAGCAGACACACACATGACACTAAAATCTCTGGAGGAAACAGGGACACATACTCTCTCATAGCTGCGAGCACGGGCTGGGGGGCTGACGCGTCCAGTGACCCGACTAGGCAGGGAGTGGGGATGACCCTACTGCGTGCGAAGTCAACAAGATGAGCGGTGCTGTCCCCTAGGTACATCACAATAACGGCTGTATGGCCTACATTCACTACCAACACTACTTTCTGTTCAGACTAAGGTGTACAACTCTAAATCTCACTGGCCACACAGCAGGATCTTTTGCTCCTACCTCCAGGATGCATAGACCATACTTCCCCTAAGGGATACCTGCAAATATTCCTGATTTTACCCACCCTCATAAACCCCTTCCCTTCTTTTCTCCCCTTCACTATACAAAGAATTTCAAGTGTCAGCTGACTACTCTCACCACATGCCGTGTTCTCAATTCTCACCAACATCCTGTATCGCCCACAAATGATGAAAATACACACTATTAATGCACGCGGGTTGTATACGCCGCATAAACGGCGTGTTCTCCTAGACGAGGTGAAAAAGGGACAGAGTGACGTCCTGTGCATCCAGGAAACCCATTTTGTCCATGCTAAAGTGCCGAAATTCACACAAAGTGAGTTTCCGAATTAATACCACTCCACCCACACCTCAAAATCTAGGGGCGTTTCTATACTGGTACATAACTCTCTCACCTTTGAATTACTACAGCTCAAAAAAGATGCACAAAACAGATATATAATTCTACACTACACCATTAACAGCATGACCTACACATTGGATGCTATCTATAGCACAAACAGTAATCAAAGAATTTTCCTGCACAAGGTACTCTCCAAAATACCTGCCCCACAACTACCACATTTAATACTTTGTGGTGATCTAAACCATATATTGCACCCACAATTAGACACGACTGTCCATCTCAAAACGCTGAGACATATGACCCTACTCCCACTTGCTAAACTGCTTCTTGAATATGACATATATGACGCTTGGCGGACCAGGTACAAGAACAACTGAGAAGCAAATTTTTTTTCCCAGGTACATAAAACATATTTGAGGATAGACTTTATATTCCTAGCCAGCAACTTGCTTCCCCTAATAATAGATTGCCACATAGGTGACATACTGTGGATGGACCATGCCCCAGTAACCCGTCATCTCCAAAACACATTTCCACACAGGGGCAGAACCCCATGGCGTCTTGGTGAATACCTAATGAACGATCCAGAATTCCGAACCACACTGGGGGAGGAAATCACCTCTTATTTTGATACACCACACCAGATGTCTCCCCCACTGCAGTGTGGCAGGCCCATAAGGCAGTCATGTGAGGCTTGGCCATTAGTCGAGCAGCGTACTTAAAATGTGCCTCGCGGCAGGAATATACAATGTTATTGAAGAGACCAAACCAGCACGCAGCTCATTCAACCTACACCAGTGGGTCAACTACAGTTAGACCAAACCAACAAAAAACTCAACAAATACTTATTCGCCAAAACTTCACTGGTGCTACAGAAACTGAAAATCAAAATGTATAGCAAGGGAAACAGAGTAAGGAAATCCCTAGCCTCACTCTTATGCCATAAACAAAGTCAGTCCAAAATCCCATATCTGATCTCATCAGATGACACCAAAGTGTTTAATCCACAGGCGATAAATGACACAATGGCACAATTTTATGGATCACTATATAATCTGCACAACAATAAGGGTACGCACCAGCCAACGGAACAGGACATACAAGATATCCTCACACAAGCTCAGCTTCCCTCACTTACCCCGACACAACGTGAATCACTACAAGCACCAATTTCTCTGACGGAACTCACACACACCATCAAAACCCTTCCCCTGGGTAAATCTCCTGGTCCTGACGGCTTCACAAACCAAAACTATAAGACCTTCTCAGGTCTCCTAGCCCCTTACCACTTAAAAACACTCAACCATATCGTGACCATGGAGAAACTGCTAGCAGAGATGCTTGTAGCCCATATTGCTACCCTCCCAAAACCAGGGAAACCCCCGACAATATGCCAAAACCTGTAACAGAATAGGTTAATGATCCTCTATTGAACTCAGATACAAAAATCCTAGCTAAAATCTTTGCCAAAAGGCTTTCGCCCATGCTACCCGCCTAGGTTCACGTGGACCTGGTGGGGTTCATTATGGGTAGGCAGGGAGGGGACGGGATGAGGAAGTTCCTTGACCTTCTACATGGAGCTCACAGTGGGAGGGGGCCCAGTGCATTTCTGTTGTTGGACTCTAAAAAAGTCTTTGATCGGGTGCACTGGCGCTTCCTCACAGCCGTATTGGAGAAATTCCACTTTCCCCCGAGCTTTCTGTCTTTAGTGTTGGCGCTATACTCTAAACCATCAGCCAAAGTCACTAATAGTGGGTTCCTGTCTTCTGAATTCCACATCACAAATGGAACAAGGCATGGTTGTCCCCTGTCACCTCTGCTTTACATCTTAACTTTAGAACCCCTGGCAAACTTCATATGGGTGGACCCTCGTGTACACGGGATCAAGGTGGGTGACACCGCATATAAAATTCTGATGTTTGCTGACGACATCATACTCTTCTTTGCAAACCCTGCTATGTCCATACCACATTTTAACGCTATCTTACAGACATACAGCGACTGCTCATACTACAAATTAAACAAAAAAAACAAAGGCAATGCACCTGCACCTGGACGCCGCATCACAGAATAGGTTAAAAGCAGAGTATGCGTATCAGAGGGGTAACAACAGGCTCATGTTCCTAGGCACTGAATTCCCCGCCCAAATCCAGGCCCTATTCCAAGCAAATTATGTAAAGTTGTTCAGAGATATCAAACACCAACTCCTCAGTTGGAAGGGCAAATACGTGTCCTGGATGGGTCACATAGCGGCTGTGAAAATGATCCTCGTCCCTAAATTGCAATATTTATTCCTCGCCTTACCTATCAAAATCCCACTACCTTGTTTGATAAACATGGAAAAATTGCTCAACAATTACGTATGGGACAACAAAAGACCCAGAGTAGCTGCCTCCATACTCTATAAGCCTTATGCAAGAGGCAGACTGAGTTTCCCAAACGTGACTACCTATTATACAGCATCCCAACTCAGCCCACTGATCATGGCCCACCATCACCAAACTCAACAGGCCTGGCTTCAAATAGAGGCTACATATACAGAATGGCAGGAGCTTACCACGTTGGCATGGATCCCGAGACATCAACAGCTGTTGGACTTAGCTTTTGGACCCCTACCAAACTCATTTCCCTCCTCTGCACAGCAGAAACCCAGAGACAAGGGAGTGGAAAACCCCCCTTTGCTAAAGCCTGAGAGACAGATTTTAAGAAAATCATAGACAATGCACAAAGGTCAAAAATCTTTTGGGCTAGTGAAGCACTCACTCTTTGCACAGCGCACATTGAACTGACCAGGAAGATCACTTACCGTTGATACCTGGTACCTAAAAAATTGAAACATATGACACCAGAATCTTTGGGCCTTTGTTGCAGGTGTCGGCTAGAACCTGGAAACATGCATCACATATGGTGGTCGTGTGATAAGCTCACACTGTTTTTGGGACAAGGTGACAAAACGTATTTTGAACATAACACACGTAGACCTGCCAAAAAACCCAATATTTACTACAACTTCTCCCAACAGCTATTACAAAGCATAAACAATACCTAACTTACCACATTCTCATAGCAGCCTTATCCACAATAAGGAAAGCCTGGTTATCTACAGACACGCCTAGCATTGAAATATGCACCCAAGCTATCAACAATAACAAACACTATGAAATCATTGCCAGGAAAACCAGGCCCCCCAAACTCTTTTGGAAGGAGGCTTGGGAGCTCTGGGAATCACAGCATATCTGTTATATATTTGCGGTTATATATATATATATATATATATACACATTAAATTTATTTTAAACATGTTTAATATATATATTTTTTATACTTCCCACCAGCAGGGGGACTGTCTAAGAGCCCAGGCAGTCTCCCTGCTGGCAGATCCACAGCCAGCTATAGGGGGCAATGTGGTCGCTCTTTGAGAGTGATCACATGGCCTCCGGGGGCCTGATTTGCTATGGGAGGGCTGCCTGGACTGTCAGGCAGTCCTCCCGAAAAGGATTGCATCGGAGGTAAGTACAGCGGACCTCCTCGGGGCTTAAGCCATTACTGCATTCTATGCCACCGCAACGGCTTTAAAACCCATTATAATGGGGACGGCATAGAACGCCGTAACGGCGTTAAGGGGTTAAGTCTATATGACCAATGAAAAAATCACATTAAATAAGAAATAATGGGTAAATTTCAAAATAAATTAGATCTACACAAATAAGTCTCCCAGAGAAGAAGTGGATGTTTTTGAGTCTAGTTTACGTTGAAAAATGTCCTTAAATAGCTATCCCTACAAATTCAAGTCTGTTCAGGCTCTCTCTAATATATCAAAAACTATCATTATTAATACAAATGATTAAGTTTTTGGAGTTTTGTCAAATAGTCATTGACCATAATCCTGATACTGGTAGGATTACATCTCCATTAACCCACAAAGCTGTCCCATTTTTGGTCACAAAAGCCAAAACATCTGAATTAACCCCTTAAGACTGCAGGGAGTTCTATGCCGTCCCTATTTGGATGGCTCTAAACGCCGCAGGGAAGCATTTGGCCGGCGGCACATGGCCGCTGCAGATCGCAGTTGGGGGCATGCCTGGCCGATCGCAGTGACAGGCTGTCACTGTGATCGATATTTACCATGTGTTAGTCGATTTTAAAATCGGCTGACACATGGAGCCGCTGCATTTTCACTCTGCAGATCGCGATTGGGGGACTTGTCCCCCTGCACTCCCCCTGCGGTCTGTGACCGCAAACTGCAGAGTCTGATTGCAGTGACAAGCTGTCACTGCGATCAGAGTTACTATGTGTCAGCCTAATGGCTGACACATAGTAACTGCAGGCAGGATCCCCCTGCAGATCACGGTGGTGGCCATACCTGGCCACCCAGGCATTCCCCCTGTGGCCAAATACTGTGATCTGCAGGAGGTGATCACAGTCACAGCCAGTCACTGTGATCACTGATCCTGTGTGTCATGTCAGCCAGTGATGTGAAATCACTGGCTGACACTGTCGCTGCCCCTCTCCTGTGAAAAATAAAAAATTAGTTAAAAATAAAATATATTACTGTTACAAATAAAATATACTTAGATCATATATATATATATATATATATATATATATGATCTAAGTATATATATATATATATATATATATATATATATATATAGGGTAGGAAAAGCACTCCAAGGACTTCATTTAAAGATGAAAGATGAAAAAATAACTTAACTTTATTTAGCAACTGCCACGAGTGATCAACGTTTCAGTCCTAAATCAGGACTTTCATCATGATACATGTGCAATACAATTGTTACAAAATAAATAACATAGTAAATTAAATAATGTACATTGTATACAGCTGAGACTTACCCATAATTCTGTGTTAGTTCACCTCTTGGATGCCAAAAAACGTGGGTAAATTTGACCCTGCAAATGTATGCAGCAGCTGAGGGATCTGCTGCTGTATGACCCTTGCGTTCCAGCGGTTGCCTTGCGTTCCAGCGGTTGAGGCAAATGCACAACTACAGATAAAACAAATGTGGGATAAGTTTTTGACCTGTGGATATAGCCCCACCAATTTACAGCAAGCTTTGAACAAATGTTATGAGAAACCATCACCACAGATGGCCAAACAGGAAAGATTGATATTTCCTATTACGTACACGACCATATCAAATCATATCAAGGAATCCATTAATCAGAACTGGCGAATGATGCTTAATGACACCAGTTTACGTAGACAGTTTAAGCAACCACCGATGATGTGCCATCGAAGAGGCAAGAACTTAAGAGACTTACTGGTTAAGACCGACCCCACACACTGCTATAATCAATCTACAACCCATCTTAATCTGGGATGTTACAGGTGCCTGGGGTGCATAACATGTAGTCACATGTTACCAAGTAAGACGTTTACCCATCCGCATACTGGTAAGAAATTTACGATTAGGCATAGACTCACCTGTACCAGTGATTACGTTGTGTACAAACTTGTCTGCCCGTGTGGCCTTGCATATGTGGGCAAAACGGATCTACCAGTAAGGGAAAGAATACGCAACCACCGATCCAGTATACGCATAGCATACAGGGATAAGGGTTCAGAATTGCCTGTGGCAAAACACTTCTTGGAAAATGGCCACCCCCTACCATCCATGAAGTTCACAGCAATAGATCACATCCCACAACCGACAAGAGGAGGCGATCATAAGAAAATCCTACTCCAGAGGGAACTACATTGGATTAGAACTTTGGACACTGTCCATCCCAAGGGTTTAAATGAGAAATATACCTTGGGCATTTTTCTATAATTATGTACCTGGTATCTTATTTCAATACTCTTGACGCACGTATGAACTCAATCTTGGGTCACACATGCTTTTGATATTACAAAACAGTTCCTTATATCTATGTATTAACAATCATATTGTATATAGGAGTCTCAGCAACATATAGCTTGCTCTAATGAGCATCTGTATCTTGACACACATATGTATGGATACTTATGCCTGTATCAGTTGTAGTCCTTCACTTTCCCACCAGAGGACACTAGTTAATACTCACCTCTGTCGAGCTTCTCTCTATTCCACATAGTATCTGTCACGTATTCATCCGCTTATAGAAATGTGGTTAATGACATTTACTGTCCACACAGGAAAAGTTGTGCCGAGCAGCAACCTAATCCACAGAAGGTTTAATGCTGAGCAGTAATTGTGCAAATGAAACCTGGTCTCATGTATTCATCCGCTTATAGAAAAGTGGTTAATGACATTTACTGTCCACACAGGAAAAGTTGTGCCGAGCAGCAACCTAATCCACAGAAGGGTTAATGCTGAGCAGCAATTATGCAAATGAAACCTGGTAACTGACTTTGGGGTCAAAGGCCGGTTACAGCCTATCAGAAAGAAAGGAGGGGTATTTAGGC